GGTGAGTGTTCAGAAATTTTTTATTTATGGTTTTCTTTATTCTTCCTATGTGTGCTAAAAAAATGTAATTTTCAGGCTTGGGGTGTCCGAAAAATTACACTACTTGACAATGGTAAGGTGGCAATGTCTAATCCATTGAGGCAGTCCCTGTATACAATGGAGGACTGCCTGAATGGTGGTGAATTTAAAGCAACTGCAGCAGTGAAAAGTCTCCAGCGGATATTTCCAGCCGTGGTAATTGGTTTTACCTGAGGCCTCTATATTCAAAGGCTCATCCAGAAAGAATTATGTTCACTTTCTGATGCTCTGCATCTGATGTGTCATTCCTTTTCTCAGGAAGCAGAAGGTGTTGTGATGGCTATACCTATGCCTGGACATCCAGAAGCTAGCCGAGAAGAGGGTAGTGTGCTTGATGACTGTAGACGCTTCCATGATTTGATTCTTTCTCATGATGTGATTTTCTTATTGACTGATACAAGGGAAAGTCGATGGCTACCTACGCTTCTTTGTGCCAACAATAACAAGGTCAATCTACTTGATCTTCTTGTAGAATTGTTGACATTTTGCACTTCATTTTTAGCCTCAGGCTTGGCACATTGACCATACGTATTTGTTTATTGACTCCACATAGTTTAATTAGGTATTATTTATTTGCCATGTTAATATTGGCTTATTCATTTGGCATTTATCTTTTTGCAGATCACGATAACTGCAGCTCTTGGGTTTGATAGCTTCTTAGTCATGCGCCATGGTCCTGGTCCTTTCAGACCTAACCATGATGTGAAAGCTGTACCTGTAAATGCTTTATCTGCAGATATGGGTAACCTTGGCTTAAATAATACAGATGGGAGGCAGAGATTGGGCTGTTACTTTTGCAATGACGTGGTTGCTCCAACTGATGTAACATTCTAGATTTGAAAGACTTTATGCTTTAGTTTTTTTGACTGTATCAACCTCAGTAATAACTCTTATGCTCTCTATGCAGTCAACTGCTAACCGCACTCTGGACCAGCAATGTACAGTTACACGTCCAGGGCTTGCTCCTATTGCTTCTGCTCTAGCTGTTGAACTGTTAGTCAGTGTCCTCCATCATCCTTATGGGTACACCCTTGAAAACTATATAAACTTCTCTGATTTTTGGAAGATTTTCCATAATCACAATGGTTTTGAGTAAATATATGTATCATTTAGCTTCCTTTATTTATTTGACTTGGCATTTTGGTGTTCAACTTCTAATGTGCAGGATTTATGCTGAAGCTGATTTTGCAAACTCTAGCAGCAGTGGAAGCAGTGAACAACCTCTTGGGATTTTACCGCACCAAATTCGAGGTTCCCTTTCTCAATTTTCTCAGATGACACTAGTCGGTTACTCCTCAAATAGTTGCACAGCTTGTTGCAGCACTGTAAGTATTGAAACTCTCCAATCTTGCATCGACTCAGAATTTTATTTAATCTTGCAGAATTTGTGTTTAGCCAAGTTAAAAGCTTTGCTGATTTTAGGCATGATGGGTTTGTGGATTTGCCTTTATCTCATTTAAATTACCATCAAAGATAAATTAGTTTTTAGTAAAAGTTTCCATTTCAGGATGAATGTGTCAAATTAAACTTTTGAAAGGTTTTGAGTCTTCTTTTGGCACGAGGTTTAATGCTTTTATGGTTCTTATTGTTAAACTTATTCTTTTCTAAATCAATTTTCCAGAATCCAGTTTTTAATTATGATGAGGATAAATATTTCAGGTGGTATCTGAATATCAGAAAAAAGGTACGGAATTCCTACTCCAAGCCATTAACCATCCTACCTATCTGGAGGATCTGACTGGACTAACAGAGTTGAAGAGATCAGCTAATTCTTTCAATCTAGATTGGGACAATGAAACAGATGGTGATGATGATGCTGATGATGATTTTGTTGAAATCTGACAAAGTTCCTCCCTGAATTGCTTCTTTTTCAGTACCTTATCAATTGTACAAAACTAATTCAAATAAATGTCTAAATTATTGTATATTTTTCAGCGTTAGTTTCATGAATTGGTTGTACTTGTACAGCCTTTATATATTGAATTATTTCCTTTTCTTTTCCATCGACATATAGTAATAGTAGAGATGGAGCAGCCTAGCTTGTGCATGGCGGATGCCAACTTGAAAGATTAAGCTGAAGATTTCATTTAAATTCAAGCATGTTATGTAGTACAAACTATTAAAGACCGTGTCGCAGCATCAGGATGATTTCCTTTTTCTTTGTTACACATTTAAATAAAGTTTCCCTTCGATCGCAAAGCACCAGTGGTCTAGTGGTAGAATAGTACCCTGCCACGGTACAGACCCGGGTTCGATTCCCGGCTGGTGCATCATCCTTTTTGCTTTTTAATTTCTATTTTTCTTTGATTCTGTTTAAGGTAATTGTTCACGTTTGATTCTGTTTCTTACTGATTTTCTTCCCAATTATGTTTTTTGACGGTTTTTCTTTATTTCTCTTTAAAGTAATTGTTCAAGTTTGATTCTGTTCTTACTGATTTATTCCTTCCTATGTTTGTTTATGTACTTTTTTTAATCCTTTTCCAAGGTACTATAAGTGTATTTCTATTTCTTACTATTTTTGTTCCTTAATACGTTTATTTATTTACATTTTACAGTAACTTATCAAAGAGGAAACATAACCTAAAAGAGCTTTAGCTTTTCATATTAAGTGAATTAGACTGTTCCTGCACTCATTTTTTCTTTACAGTAAAAGTCCCTCTCTTTGAATATAAAATAATTAAATATCACAACAAATAGTCTTTGGTCACAACATGAGAATCATTTGTCAACAAGCAGTTGGCCTTTGCATTTTGCATCTTCTCCCACTCACCTCTTTTTTTCAAGTTTCCTTTTTGACCAAACCTAGACTCAAACATTTATAATGATTCATAATGAGATGACACTCCATGGAAGACTTGGCAATATGGTTGTCAAATCTGTATCATATGATATATCAAAAATTTAATTTTTTTGAATCATGTATCGTGTATCATATCGTATCATAAGATACATTTTTTTTTTAAATTAATAAAATAATAAAAATTTTCTAAAAATTAATATCATGCTCCAAATTAATTAATTAATTTTGTGGTATTATTGGCTTTAAATTATGGTATTACATAACCAAAATTAATCAAAAAATTAAGAAAATCATTCATATCATTTCAAATATCAATATCAATATTTATATCTCCACTTGTATTATTATTATCATGTAAAATTGGTAACACATCTTTCTCTTCAATTTTTATATACAAAATAGGTAAATTTGGACATGTTTAAGTGAACCGAATTGGGTAACCCAAATCCAACCCGAAATTTTTTTGGAGCTTTCGGTCCAAATTAATAAAGTGGTATCGATTTGTTGCGATATCTTTAAGGATATGAACGGATACGTATCGTATCGTGAGATATATATTAACGTATCGAAAAGTTTATGATATACTCTTGATACGTATCGTTGATGACTCATATCAAATCATATCATAGGATATGTATCGTATATCGTAGGATACTAATAGTCGGACTTGGCATTTGAAAGAGAAAGGCTTTATCATAATTCGTCACTTCCATACAAGACTTTGAAATTCATCTAGAATGGAGTATATGAAGACTTTGCGTTTGAAAGAGAAAGACTTTTATCATAATTCCTCACTTCTCCATTCAAGACTTAGAAATTCATCTACAATGGAGTATATTTTTCTTTGTGTTTGCTTTTTTCTTTTGAATTTGTAATAACGAGGCAATTAACTAATGGGGGACATCTCACATTTCCTTTTACTTGCAAGTAAATTGAGTGAACATCTCCTCTGACTTCCAACAATATATCAATCTCATTTCATTTCCTCGACCTGGAGACTGGACTGCAATTCAAATTTGGTTAAATCAATAGAGAAATACATTTTAATAAACTAGGATAACATTTTAAATGTGACTAATTTAATATGGTAATACATTTATTAAACTTAAAACTAATTTTTAATAAGTTTCCATATACAATTCTACAAAAATAGTTAGAAGCAAAGGTGTTTTACTTTTTTTTTTTTTTTAATGACTGGGGGTGCTCGGACCAGCTTACGCGTATTCAACTAATCCTCTGAGACCGTAGAACTATTGATCAGATAAAAACTCCAATGGTCATCCCTATTAGGTTATTAGCACCCAAAGAAGGATTCGAATTCAAGCCCTCTTAAATAATACACTCAAGAGTTCTTATCAAACCGTTTGTCCACCCAAAGATAGTTAAAAATAAAATAAAAAATAAAAAAAAAGATGTTAGGCAGATGGTTGCATGGCAGCCTAAATAATCTTTTGCAGCCCATAAAATGTTGGGTCTTTCTTTGGTAAAACTTGAGGCATGGTACCAGGAAACTCAATTGCCTTTGAAAGCTGAAACACATGCTGTCTATATGATTCAGAACCTTATGAGAAGCTTCGCTCCACGAAGGCAGAAAAGCAACAGTTTTGTACTGTACAAAGTCTGCCACCATTCCCATTTCCAAGTCTTGCAGAAACTAAGTGGGTTTTACACTTTTTGTTTAAAAGAGTCTTAAACCCATCATAACCAATGCTGTTTTTGTCTGAAAAAAAATCATCCAATAACTTGGTTTGTCATTCCGTAATGCATTTTTTAGTTGTGGACATTAACACTTATCTCTGACTACTTCTTTCATCCATCTTTGTTTAATGGACTACTCTCCATTCCAATTCTGAATTCCATTTTTGCACGTGTCTAAAGCGTTGGCGACATATGGCATTACCATGGAGTTTTGCCAGTGGTTATGAGATTTTTTATAATGAGTAAAAATTGTCATCATCTATGAATTGATTTGAAGGATTGATGTGGCCAAAAGAATGGGGTTTTAGATCTTATCTACAAATATATGCAGAAGTATCAGCAACTCAAGTCAAGTCTTCAAAGTTTTGATGCAAAATGTAGTCATCGATTAAGGACATGTAAAACTTAACTTGTAATGGAAGTAGTTANCATGCGAAGACTAAGGCACAGGAACTTGGTACGACTCCTTGGCTATTGCAGGCGAAAGGGAGAACTTCTATTAGTCTATGATTATATGCCTAACGGAAGCCTTGACAAAATCTTATATGGAAATTTGAAGCCAAACCTTAATTGGTTTCAGAGGTTCCGGATTATCCGAGGAGTAGCTTCTGGCCTTCTTTACCTTCATGAAGAGTGGGAACAAATTGTTCTGCATAGAGACATAAAGCCTGCTAATGTTCTTTTAGATGTCGATCTCAATGGGAAGTTGGGAGATTTTGGCCTCGCTAGATTATATGATCATGGCAGCGACCCACAAACCACCAAACTGGTAGGAACCATAGGTTATCTGGCTCCAGAGCTTCTTAAAACTGGAAAAGCAACTACCAGCACAGATGTATTTGCTTTTGGAGCTTTTATGCTCGAGGTTGCTTGTGGAAGGAGGCCTATGGCTATGGAGCCTGGAGAGAAAGATTTGGTTAATTGGGTCACAGATTTCTTGAAAAGAGGAGCTATTATTGATGCTAGTGACCCTAGATTGGAAGGTATATACGTTGAGGAGGAAATGGAATTGGTTTTGAAACTAGGCCTCTATTGTTCAGACTCTAACCCAGAAACTAGGCCTAGCATGAAGCAGGGGATACAGTATCTGGATGGTGGTACTATGTTACCAAATACACCACCTGGTAGCATTGTCATTGGCGAATTCACAACACGTAACAAACCTCTTGACAATGTTGTGTCATTTCATTCACTGGTGGGTAGTTCTTCTTACACAACGACTACAAATGATTCAAGCCTTACAGTAGGTCGATGAGTCAAGAATTTGTTATGCAATGGCTTGATCTTTGGTCCATTCATGGCTGGGGAGTGGAGAAAAAAAATGCAATGAATAAGTGAGATATTTTCTGCTCATGTAACTTCTGTGCATTTTGATAAACGGTAACATTGCTTGTGTTCTAATTAAACTCAGCGAGGTATTCTGTAAAATAATCTGGTTTTTTGTTTCATAGATATCATTTTTAATGTTCTAGTTTGCTATTACTGGAATGCAAATGGCTCCGTGTCAATGTTAGAATAGGTAGCTCTTACATAACCATTAAAATACTATGACCCCATAACTGAGAATCAAGAAATATTTGTGCTGTAGTAGTTTTATGCAAAAGGAGTTTGATTAAATTAATAATTTAATGCAAAAAGATAAATTTTGTCTGAGATCTCTACTCATCATATTCTGCATATTCGAAATTAATAAACTGTTGGATATTCTGCTAATGTAAATGAGATTTGAAGCACAAAGTAACCCATAATTTTCTTATGTTTGATTCTAAGAGTATCTCCAAAGAACTTTTTATATAACTCAAACTATTTATTGTAAATAGTTTATCATAAAAATAATAATTCAATAAAGTCTTTATCTTTAAAATATAAATTAGAGAGTGAATTTGACTCTCTACATTTAAAGAGTTAAATTTCACTTTCTATCCTAATTTTAATTAATAAATTATATATTCCTATACATTTTATTTATTAATTCTCTTTTCCATTAAGTCTCTTTTTTTAAATTACAGAATATCTTTATTAAATTTAAAAAGTTTATTAGATTTGAATAAAAATTATATTTTTTATATTTAAAATTTAATAAAAATACTCTTCAAGATGCTCTAATATCACCTAACAATTTCAGTCTCATCGGAACAAAAACAGGAGAAGTATTTGCGTTGAATTCAACTTATACAAAAGCCACCATCTTTTAAAGTTCCAACCTATAGAAGGCTGGCTGACTTCTAACAATGATTTGCAAATAAAGGATACACAACATCAAAGCCTTCATTTTCAGTGCACCTCCAGAGGGATTGAACAGCTCTGCGGTACATCGAGCCGCCAGGTTTTACTTTCAGTAACCATTTCTGCCTTGCAATACTCTACCTAAACTTCATGCTAAAAGTGTAAATACGCAGCTATCAAGACCCTAGATTCAAAATTGTTGCTGTCAAGATTGATAATAAATGTGGTGAGCTGTCTAATTCCAGTCGTCATGGAGGCTTTTAATAGAGATAAATTTTAAATGATTAATGTTGATGCGTGATTTTGACATCAATTACTTTACACGTATAAAATGTTAAATGTGTCTTAAAAATAATAAGTGATTGACTTAAGATTTGAATTAAGGTCACAGTAATATACAAAGACTAAATAATAAATGAGACAGAGAGAATTTTATAGGATTCGTTTGTTTCATTATTTATCACTATTCTATCCCTATTCCAAATACAAATTCATGTTTATTTCTCTATTTTCAAAATCCTATCTTAAATTAAAAAACTTTTAAACCCCTATAAGTTTGTTAATTGATAAAAATACCCTTAACAAAATAATTTATAAATTAACAAAAACACCTCTATTCATCCATAGTTGTCAGATTCCGACAACCANGCCAAGGAGGATCTAGCAAATCCCTCCTTGGTTCTTGGTGGTTGTCTTCGTGTGGACTTCTTGGTTCGATCCTACACTTGGATCGGTAGCAAACACATTCAGAGACAACATTGGTGGAGCCTCCAAACGTGGGTATGAATCTAAACCTTTAGATTTATTTTTCTGCAGATTCATATTATGCATAAACTCTAAAATCTATGCCCTGATTTTGGGTTCTAAGGAACGATCCGTAGTTGTAAAAATTTTGTTTTCCGCTGCACAACCAGGTCGTTTCCTAACAGATATCACCTAACAATTTCAGTCTCATCAGAACAAAAGTAGGAGAAGTATTTGCGTTGAATTCAACTTATACAAAAGCCACCATCTTTGAAAGTTCCAACCTATAGAAGTAAGATTGGCTGACTTCTAATAATGACTTGCAAATAAATGATACACAACATCCAAACCTTCATTTTCAGTGCACCTGCAGGGGGATTGAACAGCTCTGCGGTACATCGAGCCCCTAGGTTTTACTTCCAGTAACCATTTCTGCCTTGCAATACTCTACCTAAACTTCATGCTAAAACTGTAAATACGCAGCTATCAAGACCCTAGATTCAAAATTATTGCTGTCAAGATTAACAAGAAATGTGGTGAGCTGTCTAATTCCCGTCATCATGGATTATACATAGGCTTGAATAGAGATAAACTTTAAATGATTAATGTTGATGTGTGCTTTTGACATCAATGACCTCGCATGTGTAAAGTGTTAAGTAGGTCTTAGAAATTACACATGATTGACTTGAGATTTGGATTAATGTCACAGTAACATGCAAAGACTAAATAATAAATGAGATAGTGGGAATTTTATAGTGGTTCAAATGCTTAGAGCGATTCCTACATCCATTATTCTCTTTTATATGAGTGTTCTTGGTTATAAGCTAAGTTGCAATAGGTCGCGAACTGCGAACATAAGTACAAGAGCTTGGAATTAAGAGAGAATATTAAGCCAGTCTCTTTCCCGTAGGTTGTCTTTACTATTTCCTTTTATAAAAATTCGAGATCCCAATTTTGTGAGAGGGAGTCTTCTATTTATAGCCACTAAATTCAAGGTAATGATTACAAGTCTGCAAGTGGATAGGTGTCATGCAAGTTCTTCCTTGCATCCTATTGGCCAATAACTTAGGAAATGTCCTTAAATTAATTATATGGGGCTTGGATAGGTGTGCGGACCGTACTCATTTATAGACTAAACTTGAGCTTGCTGAATTGGTGATAGCCGTATTCTCTCTGTCTTGGGGCGACGTGACAAATTCTAGACAGCGCAAACCCTTCTTGATCTCTGATTGGTGTTCGCTGATAAGTTGCACAATTTGAGTGTTTTTAGGGTTGTTTTGATGTTAGTTTAGTTCATTTCTCATTTTTTTCTTTGTTTTGTTGTTAGTTTTTATTAAGTTTGAGATATGAATGGTTAGTTATTGATTTGGATGGCTTTTGTATTTTTCAGGCTTTGATTGAGTAGATTGGAGCATTGGAATGAAATTGGGACTTAAAGCTCGAAGAAGTTGAGACTATCTAACATTTTTTAAGGCCATGGCTATACCTTGGTGGTTCACCATGGCCATGGTAGTGGAATTAAGATAAAACAAAATGACCAGAAAGCACCACGGCCTAGACTGTGGTGACTTAAATTTGGATTGATTCAATTGCCTTGATGATGTTTCAAATAGAGAAGTTAGGGTTTATTGCTTAATTCATATTCATAATTGTTTTATGGGAATAACCTTGCTCAACATATTAAAACTAGAAGCAATCTAATATAGATTTTAGGATTAATTTGTGGTCCACCTAATTCATAACCGAATAGGGTGAATTAGTTGTAAGGGATTGATGAATTTATGCTTCTTAATTTTAGAGTAAACGAATAGGGATCTGTATTAAGCTGAATATTTTGCCTGAATAAGGATAATTGGTCTTAAAAGAATCCTACCAATTCATAGCACAAACGGGTTAAGAGTAGTTGTCAAGCATAATTAGGAGGAAATTTGTACCCTAACTTCATTAATATTGGAAAGTTCTTCACATTGTTTATTTGTTTAATTTAGTTATTTTTAATCCATTAGTTTTACACTTTAAACTTTCATTTTCTCAAATAACATGTAGGTAGCTTTAGGTAATTACAAATATTTGCTTTGATCTCTGTGGGATGATACTGAAACTTATCACTTTATTATTTGAACATGACTAATGCACTTACTAGGGTTGATTTAGTCGCATCACTCACTGAGGTAAGCTTACATCAGCCCTGATTTTTTAGACATAACAATTGACATCCCTGAATCCTTAAAATTAATAATACTAGAATAACATCCAAAAAACCAAGAGATTAACATATAACAAAGATGTGGTTTGTTTTCAACCAAGTGGTTGAAGAACATGATATCTACAAATTGGTCTGAATTCATTTATATACTTGGATAGTCATGAAGAATAATAAAATTGACTTATATTGGTCGTTAGTATTTGTTGGCAGAAGATCAATTTTTTCTTTTTTGTGACCAAGGTATCTAGGTCAACTTGGGTGCACCTCAACTAATCTCCTGGATCTTGAAGTTGACAGCTGGATAAATTCTCTCAGTGGTCATCCCTATTAACAACCCAGGTAGTTCGAACTCATGATCTGTTAAGTAATACACTCAAGAGTCAAGAGCTCTAGTTGACTAGTGGGTGGGCCACCCAGTGGTGGTTAGAAGATCATTTTTACTTCTTCTGGAATTCATTAAGTGATGTGAATCCAGTTTAGACCCTTGAATTGAAATCCTGAGTTGGCAGGTTAATATTTTCTCCTATGTTCTTGCAGTCCAAGACTGCACTATCATAGACATAGATCAACATTTCAATTTTCTTTAAATAAATATTCATCTCTCAGAAATTTGAAACAACCAAACTAGCAGCAACACCTTTTTCCTCTCCACAAAACACATATTTTTCACCTTTTTTGTGATGGCTGCAGCTCTTCGATCGATTTATGTTTGGATGCTTTTCAATTTATCCTTCATTTGCTTGTGCTCATCTCTAAATGAAAACGTGTTCATCTACAATCATGGCTTCCATGAAGCCAAATTACATCTGGGTGAATTCTCAGAAATCCACCCCAATGGTCTATTGCAGCTAACCAACACTTCTGAGAGGCAAACTGGTCATGCTTTTTATCCATTCCCATTCAAATTCAACACATCTTCCCCTGAATCTCTTTCCTTTTCCACGAATTTTGTTTTTGCCATAGTTCCAGAATGGGTTAATAAGGGAGGCCATGGCATAGCTTTTGTCATCTCACCGTCTATGAACTTTACTGGCGCTGTTGCAGGTCCTTATTTGGGACTCTTCAATCTTAAAAACAATGGCCAGCCTACAAACCACATCTTAGCGATCGAGTTTGATACTATACAAAACCCTGAATTTTATGACATGGATGGAAACCATGTGGGAATTGATGTGAACGGCTTGATTTCTAATGAATCTGCTACAGCAACTTATTATTCGAATGAAGAACGGAAGAACAAAAGCTTAGTGCTCATGAGTGGAGATCCAATAAAGGTTTGGATAGACTACGATGGTGCTGAAAAATTAATCAATGTGACTCTCTCTCCTGTTCGAATCGCAAAACCAGAAAGACCTCTCTTGTCAACGCCCCTCAATCTTTCTGAAGTTCTCTTGGACTCTATGTATGTCGGTTTCTCAGCAGCAACTGGCACAACTACAAGTGATCATTATATTCTAGGATGGAGCTTCAACAGAAGCGGACAAGCACAAAACATTGATGTCTCCAAGCTTCCTCCTGTTCCTGCACACGGGAAAGCAAGTAAGAAACCTGCACTACTGATGATTGTTTTGATTGTAGTAGCGGTGGCTGTGGTTTTTATAGTAGTCATTTTAGCTGCTTATATTGTGTGGAAGAAGAAATATGAAGAAGTATGTGAAGACTGGGAAAGGGAATATGGCCCTCAAAGGTTCCCCTATAAGAATCTCTATAAAGCAACTAGAGGTTTCAAGGACAAAGAGCTTATTGGAAAAGGAGGTTTTGGAAAGGTTTACAGAGGCGTCCTTCCTTCTAATGAACAAATCGCGGTCAAGAGAGTCTCTCACGATTCGAAACAAGGGATGAAGGAATTTGTGGCTGAGATTGTTAGCATGGGAAGGCTAAGGCATAGGAACTTGGTGCAACTCCGTGGCTATTGCAGACGAAAGGGAGAATTTATTTTGGTCTATGATTATATGCCAAATGGAAGCCTGGACAAATTATTATACAGCAATACAGAGCCAAATCTTAATTGGTTTCAGCGATTTCGAATCATTAGAGGAATAGCTTCTGGCCTTCTCTACCTTCATGGAGAATGGGAACAAGTTGTTCTACATAGAGATATAAAACCGGGTAATGTTCTTTTAGATGCTGATCTAAATGGGAGGTTAGGTGATTTTGGCCTAGCTAAACTATATGACCACGATAGCAATCCGCAAACCACTAACCTTGTGGGAACTGTAGGTTATTTGGCTCCAGAGCTCATTAGAACTGGAAAGGCAACTACCAGCACGGATGTATTTGCTTTTGGGGCTTTCATGCTTGAGGTGGCTTGTGGAAGGAGGCCTATAGAGCAACAAGGTTATGGAGTGGTATATTTGGTTGAATGGGTAATCAATTGCTGGAAAAGAGGAGCTATCATCAATGCCAGTGATCCAAAATTAGAAGGTATTTATGCAGAGGAGCAAATAGAGTTGGTACTGAAACTAGGGCTGTTTTGTTCACACCCTAACCCCGCAGCAAGGCCTAACATGAGACAGTTGATGCAGTATCTGGACAGCGATGCTACACTGCCAGATATATCACCTAATAGCAGTTCAATGGATGTGTTCATAAATAGTAATGAAGATTCTAATAGTGGAATGTCATTTCCCACATTGTTTGAAAGTAGTTCTGCGCAGACCATGTCTACTTGTGATTCAGTCCTCATAGAAGGTCGTTGAATCAAATATCTTATTGCAATGGAGCCTTTCTTTGGACTAATCATGGTCCATGTAAAAAGAAATATTGTTTCTAAAACTTTCTGCGAGTTTCTCAAACTGATAGTTCTTGTATCATTTTTACTTGTTATTCTATTATGTGAGACAATCTGGTTTGACTTTCCAAATATTGATTTGTAAATAAGACTATTAAAAAACATATAGGAGATCCAAATTCTCATTTTCAAGCGCACCTGAAGAAAGGGGATTGAACTCTTAAAGCATATGAATTGACTTTTAACATATTTTGTGCCGCCAGTTTTACTTGGTACCTCTTCCGCCAATACCATGCAATACTCTACCTAAATTTCAAGCTAAAATTGTTTAATCATTGTTTTAAAAACCGGACCGGAGGGCAACCCACTCTGATGGTCAGGTCACAGTTCAACCGGTCCAACCGGTTGGACCGCCGGTTGAACCAATGGTTTGACAGGTTTAAAATCTAACAAAAACACCCCTGATAAATACCATCAGACCCTATAGGTTTGAAATCTAGCAAACACAACCCTAGCCAAATGCAAATCGGCGATCGATTGGGAGAGCAGCGGCAACACACCAGGGAGGGTAGATCGGATGATGGGGAGGGCGAATCGGCAGCTAGCAAGTAGAGGCATCGCCGGAAAATGGCAGATCAGTGGTGGAAGTCAATGGTCACAGTGGCTTTTTTTGGTGAGATGATTGGATCTTCGTGAACGACGGCAAGGGAGCTTGGAAGAAGGTAGATTGGTGGTTGAGGAAGCCTATCGATGCCGAAGAAGACCGATCAACATCAGGAAATGGAAGAAAAATCACGCGGCGAAGGTGGACGACGAAACATCATGCGGCAGCTGGAGATGAAGCATGACAGTGCCGAAGAAAGTCAGAAGGTGGTTTTCGACAATAAGGGAAGGTGGAAGGTTGCCGAAAAAGGGGAGGTCATTGCCGATTTGCAGTTGGCTAGAGGGTGTGTTTGCTAGATTTGAAACCTTTAGGGCCTGATGTGTATTAATTAGGGGTGTGTTTATTATATTTTAAACTTGAAACAGTTAAAAAGAATGACCTGACCCGAAGAAGGCCCCGGGTCCCTGTCTAACCGGTTAAACTGACCGGGCCAGTCTGGGTTTTAAAACCATGTGTTTAATACGCAGCTATCAATTACACGCAAGATTCAAAATTATTGATGTCCAGATATGAGTTCAGCTAATCTAATTCCGTCATCATGCTATCAGAAAGGAGTATATAGAGACTTGAAGTAAGACATTTAAATAATTAACATACCTAACTCCTTAAATAAAATAATATTATAATAACATCGCAAAAAAGAAGCAAGATATTAGCATATAATAAAGAATGGTTTTTTCCAAACAAGTAGTTGAGAAACAGTGTGATCTACAAATTAGTCTAAGTTCGCTTCCGCAGATTCGATGTATGATGTGATAGATATTAAACTAGATAGTTATGCAAAATAATAAACTATCTGGGTTCTTAGTATTTGTTAGTAGAAGATCACTTTCACTTCCTCCAGAATTCATTGAGTAATATGAATAAGTTTATATCCTTGAATTGAAATTGTTTAGAAGCCAATAAAATCAATTTTCAGGCTTCTAATTTCATAAGATAAAGAAGGAGTGATGAATTTGTGTAAAAGGAGAACAATTATATTCACTGAACTCAATTAAAACATACATCTAACATTCCTTTTTTTAGGTTTTAAAAGCGTAACTAAAATAATTTACAACAATAATTACAAGAAGTTATAGAGTAATAAAAACTGGAAATAACTTAATTTGATTTTATCTAAAATTGAAATTCTAAACCATGCCTCGACACAGTGCCTAGGCATCAAGCATTTTGGAATTTTAGTTCCAGTTTCTTCCTTGTGTGCCGCGGCATGCTTCCCTTCTACTTGTGTGCTGCGGCATTATGCCGCGGCACGATTCCCTTCTACCAAAACGTGTTCATTATTTAATAGATATGATCATTTTTTACTAGAGTTCTGTAAGCGTATGGAATCATACAAGTAATACAATCTGAGTAAACAGATATCAAATCCTAGAGAATTACTAGTTACCAACTACCAAAATAAACTATTCTATTAATAGTTGATTAATAAAAACTTTAAGGAATGAATCAAACTAAAATTAACAAATTAAAAGCAAACTAAAAGGAAACAGAATTTCAATAACAAATTGAATGTAAAGCAATATGACTAAACCTAAGGCATAAATTTTATACCAATTTACTCCTATGTATTGACAATTAATGCTAACAATATTAAGTTTTTTCTATAAGCCAAACTCCCTAAAATTCTAATAACTTTCTCTCGAACAATTATTAGATTAACCAAGCACGTAACCACATAATAGCTTGTGGGTTTAATTGAATCCACTAAACCTTTCAAAAATTTTAAAAAATTATTAATAGTTTATAGATTTTACAATTTTAACCCCCATTTAACTTCATGTTGACCCCACAAAATAAATTATTAATTAATACTGACACGACCCGTCCCGAATTTCCTCATCCCGTAGGATCCGGACGCTCCCACATGACTCGGATACCCGAGACGTGCTATGTAGAAAAACTGTGAAACTTGTTAAAAGACTTACTTTTTCTAAATAACATCATAGTATTTCCATTTCCAACATCTCAAAAATAAAAGAAAAAATAAAAATAAAACATACACCATCTATCGTTTTACAAAAGAAAAGATTTAGAAAAACTTGTGGTATTAGGTTTTCCACTTATACAACACATTCCGAAACATAAACAAAAGAAAATACATGATGAGAAACATGAGTTTTTGAAACGAAAGTCCAAAAATACAATACGACATAAATATAAAACACATATAAAAACATGTCGACGCGTGGCACAACCCTGAGCAGAGACTCACTGCTCGGCACGATCTCTGGAAGGTCCTGGTGAGAGGGGAAAAACATTTAAAAAAATGGTTGAGCGAAAAAATGGTTGAGCTGAAATACTCAGTGAGTGGGAAAAATCTAGACATTTTTCCTAGGAGAAGATTATGTGGCGGGATTAGACTGCAATTAAGAGAATTTTGGGGCCAGATATAATTTTAGAAAACTGTTTCAGTTTTTAAGAAAGAAAAACTGGGCAGTTCGCCCAAATGAAGAAGAAAACAAGAGCAGAGGAAGAAAAAGGAGAAGAGAGGAGAATGGGTTCGGCTGAAAATGGTAAGAGTGAGAGAGAATAGTGGAGGAGAGTGCAGGGAGCTTCGGCTGAGTTAGAATAGTGAGTGGATCTAAACCGTTTTCCTTAAAAACTTAAACTTATGCCGTTGCATGTCGATTTTCTTTTACTATCATCCATTGTTTTTGCAAAAATCTTTACAAGCATGATGTTTGTGAGATATTTATTCTAGTTTGCTTTTGGCTAATTGAGTTGAAACGTGTTGATTTTGTTGGTGGCCGAAATCTTGTTGTAAAAATGAAAGTTTACTGGTTTGTGTTGTTACATTTGCTTCGGCTGCATGCATAATATTGTATTGGTTGAAAATAGCTTGCTAGAAATTGATTTGAGTATGAAGCTTGCTAAAACTTTACCTTAGCATGTCCCGGCTGAGCAAGTTTTTGAGTGAAAGTGTCTCAGATCTGAATTTAACAAAGCTGATTTGTGTTGCATGTCACCAGATCTTTCCTAAAAACACAAGACTCATGGTTGTATATTAATGTCTTGTTGAGAGCCTTGTTATTTTGTGAAGACTGCTTAAATGGTTTTCTTTTACTTGTTTTTGGATGAATCTTTGAAGTGCTTGATTGAGTTTTTAAGTGGGATGCATTTGCTTGTTAATTGTAACCACTTGCACTCGGCTGGATACATATTAGGATGATGGTTGACTTGTGTTTTTGATGAAATTATTGTTGGGTATTAAACTGCATTCTTGACTGGACAGCATGTTAAAGAGAGGACTGAGATTTGTGATGTTGGTAAGTAATTTTCTCGGTAAAAAGGGAAAATGGGTGCTTTTCGTCAGTTTTGAAAGTATGCTTTAAAAACATGCATTTTACCCCTATTTTCCATGAAATCTCATATGTTGGCATGGTTTATCCTTATATGAAATATTCTTATATTATCATTATCATTATCATTATCATTATCATTATTATTATTATTGTTATTATTTTTGTTCTTGGGTTTTGTTGATGCGTGATTTAGACACCAACTAATTGACACGTGCGTAGCGTTGGTTGGGCTAGGAACACACATGAATATGGATTGTCAATGTGAAATAAATGCAATGAGAGTTTTTAAAGTGGTTCGGATGCTAAGGTAGCAAATCCTGCGTCCACTGATGTGTATTAATATGGTGGGTCAGGTCGCTAAAGCGGACTGACTTACAAATGATTGAACAGTCAATACAAAGCTTTGTTTAGTGAGAGAGAGAATACCAATGTAAAAAGGATCGAATCCCCTTAATGAAGGGGTCTTCCTCTTCTTATATCAAGCTAAATGCGTGTAATGATCATTAAATCCTTGGGTTGGTGTGTGTGTCAAGATGTAATCTGGCTTTACGTCCCATTACCCATTTTCCAAGCCGATTTCACGCGATTTGGAGCAGGTTAGCGGACACGTGGAAGCACCAGGGCGTTTGGCAGGCCTGACGTGCGCTTACCGTTCTGACGGGAGCAGGCCACGTTTCGTCACGCAAATCCACGTCAGCTTTTGATTTCTCAGGCATAACAGAAGCCCCCTAGTTTGTAAGGTTTGAGGGTCGAACCTTGGAAACTAAGTCATGCCGCTATTGGAGGTTTTGGTTGTTTCGACCTGAATAGAAGAAGCTCGGGACACGACCTTCGACGGACACGACCTCGCATAATTCTCGCCCAAACGACCTGACAATCGTCATTTCAACGACCTGGATTCGTCGGGCGCTCTTTTACGTGCCTTGGAGAGATTCAATGAACCTGCATCCACGCTGTCAGGCGCTCTGCATGTGCTGCAGTGTCTGCCAGAAGCATTAAATGCGTTATGCTGACTCGGCATCGTTTTGACAGCTTTAACTGCACAACACACATGAAACGACGACCCTCATTACGGCATTTAATGCGACGTGGGGTGCATTAAATGCGGGGAGAGAGAGAAGGTTGTCGTTTCGG